ATGTACGTAATGGATATAACGCCATCTCTTACACTCAACGACTCAGATAAAAATTGCAATATATATATATATATATATATATATATATATATAGAGAGAGAGAGAGAGAGAGAGAGAGAGAGAGAGAACAGTTCCTGAATATGTTTGGAACATTAACTCAAGCGGGATTGATCTCTGTTTCACCAAATATTCCCCTAGAAAAGGGGAGGAGCTCAAACTCCTACTGTCCGTACTCCAGAGCAACAGATTCACATTGGTCAGGTTCTGGATGTGGTGCCGGTACAACCTGTTATTCTGGTTCAGCCTGAGGTCAGGCCAGAGGCATCAAAAGAGGAACAAAAAAGACTTGAGAGGTTTAAGAGGTATAGCCCACCTACTTTCAGTGGCACAACTACAGAGGATACCCAGGGATTCCTAGAAAAGTGTCACCGTATTCCCCGCACCATGGGTATTGTAGAAGTGAGTGGAGTTGCCTTTACTATATTTCAGTTGTCAGGAGCAGCGTATCAATGGTGGCAAGTTTATGGATAAGGTAGACCAGCCGGTGCAATGCCACCAACTTAGGCTCAACCTTCGTAGATGTTTTTGAAAGAGTTTGTTCCCTAGACTCTTCGGGATATGTGGCACACAAAGTTTGAACGGTTGCGTCAGGGCACCCTGACGGTGTCAGAATATGCTATCAGGTTCAGTGAGTAAGCCCGTCATGCACCTATCTTGGTTCCTACAGTTAGAGAGTGAGTCCGCAGATTCATCGAAGGGCTCAATTGTGATTTTAAAACACGTATGGCTCGAGAGTTACAGACTGACATCCATTTCAGCAAGTAGTAGAGATTGCCAGGATGTTAGAACTTGTTCGAAGTTAGGAAAAGTAGTCTAAGGAGGTCAAAAGGTATCGGAACTCTGGAGGATTCAGTGGATTCTACTCTGCAGATATGACTCGTCACGGCGGAGATGCGGGCAGTCGGGCAGCCCAGTACGCAATTCAGAGTACTCGTAGTGCTCAAATTAATACTTTTAGTGCACCACCGGCACGAGGTTCTTAGAGTGGTTATTCTAGTTATCCGACATAGATGCAGTACGAGCAGTTACAACCTCAGAGGGGTTGTTATGAGTGTGGTGATACTAGGCACATCATGAGAGATTGTCCTAGCCTTGGAAGAGGTGGATTTCATTAGAACACTTAGACTGCATGTTCTATTCCAGTTACTACCCTACATACACAGCCAGTTAGGGGTGGAGGACAGGCGGGTAGAGGGTGCCCTAGAGGGAGAGGCCCAGCCCGTTGATATATTTTCTATGTTATGGCTGAGGCCGCTACACCAGATGGTGTCAATATAGGTATGAGTTAATTCATAATAAATGAGCACTATTCTTATTTTTATTCGATTCTGATTATCGAGGTGAGAGCTTCTTTCATGCTCCTTATATGGTGAATTTGTGAATTTGTACTCTACTCTCGTGTTTATACCCGTTGGGATATTTGATGATGTTAGCCCGTGTCTAACTGTGATGACCCAATATGTCATCTTTAATTTTAAACATTCATTTCTTTATTCTGAGACCTCGAATAGCACCCTTTAGCATCCCTCAAATAACCTTTTCTTTTTTGATCGTTCGTGAAATTTAATTGACCGACTGACATCGGTCGGAAAGTGCGACTGACTTCGATCGCTATTATTACCGACCAACTTAATTTCAACGGATTAAAGTCGATCGAAAGTTTTTTCTAGTAGTGTATTGAAAGCTTAAATTTCTTAAGTACTGAGATCTCTATCAAAGCCTCCAATCTTCTGCTCTCCACAAGTTTATATTTCCCAACATATAAACAAAAAAACATGGGAAAATACAATAAGTCTTCTCAGGCTACTACTCCTTGTGTCCCACGTATTATTTGTCACTAGCCTTTGGAAATTCAATATTTATTTTTTCTAATTGGTATACATATATTATATATGGATTACAGTTATATATATATTTTATAAATGAATTATACATATATTGTATATCTGCTGGCTATTTTTAATTTAATGAATTAAGTGAGCGGCTATTTGTGTTATTTCTTCTTTTATAAATGTCCCAAATTGTTATGACTTTTTTTAAAAAGAAAAAACAGTTATGTTTATTCAAAAGTACCTCGAACTTATTTACCCATATACTTCTGTTAATAGTTCCTTATAGAAACGCAATGATGAAAATTAAATCACACGAAAACCTTCCATTTTTTCTATATTATATATGAAAAAATAAATGTAACAAATGATATATAATGGAGGAGTATCTTGGGTGCCGAATTCCATTTTTAGATTTATACAGTTTCATATACAAAGGTTCATAATTTATTTTCTGTATTGTATTTTGTGGAACAACAAAACAGAGATTGTTTCTATGATGCTTCAAATAGCATAAGTTCAATTAGTCCAACGTTCATGACATAAAATGCGGCTCATCAACCTTTATATAACTATGATCCTATTTTCAAAAGAGTAGTTACAAAAAGAACATTACTCAATGGAGTTCAAATTTACGTGATGTATTCATTTTTTTACACCATCAATTAAAATTATCTACAATAAGCAGAGGCGAATCTAGAATTTAAGTTTTATGGGTTCAACCTTTAAGGTTTTTAGCATTGAAACTCATTATCTTTTTAAAGTTATGGGTTCATATTGCTATATATTGCAATATTAATAAATTTTTATACATAAATTTATGTTTCGCGTCAAAAGTACTGCGTTCAGTTGAACCCGGTACCAACACTTTGCATCCGCCTCTGATAATAGTTAACTCTTTATACATCAACTGTGATATGATAACTTGAAAAATAAAGTAAAAACTTACTATACTTAAATTAAATTGCACTTATAGTGTAAAAATAATTACACTATTAAAGTACAAAAACTTAAATTCTATACAATGACTATTCCTACTAGTCTCAAAAACTTGCTACATTCTTCTTTTCCAAGAATTCCAAGAAAATCTGATTTCTATCTAAAGTCTTCTTCTGCTTTCCTTCATCATTTTCACATCTATCAAACTCATGAGAACAAAAGGAAATTCATGTGAATATTTTGTGGGAAAACTCTCATTATGGATATTTATCTTCCTTGAGAAGAAATTTTCATCATTTTCTTCTTCTTTTTCATCAGCTAATAAATAAGGAGGCACTTCAGCTTCATGCCTTTCAAATTCTTCAATGCTAATTCCATCTTTAAGATAGTCAGCTCCCATCATGGCCATTGCTGCAAATGAAACCGACATTCTTTTTGTGGCTCTTTTTGCAAACTAATTAAGTGAATACGTAAGAGAATTGAGGACGAAAATACTGATGCTATAATGCTGAGCCAAAGACACTCCGCATTCTCTAAAAATACAGTTAACTGATTTCTGAATGAATTAACTTGTTGGTAATGGCTTAATCTATAGATCGAAACTGTGATGAAAAACAGGCACACTAGGTTTGGGGGAGAGATGAGAGTTTGTTGAGTTGCTTTATGCAACAATTTCATTTAGACAGGACATATATATATAGGTGATAGAAGAAGAAACAATTGATGAAATACATCTTAATTAGAATGTTGAATTGACTCTTGAAATTAACCTTTTGACATCTAGAGAAAGTTTCAAAGCCAAAAAGGTAATTGTGAAGAGAAGAAACACGTTTGAATTTGAACAAGATTTCGAAATTTCACGTGATGATCAATCTCATAAAGAAGGTGTCCTTGTTGCAATAAGGCATATAAAATATCTTTTAAATTTTTTTAAAACAATTCTACATACTTTTCACTTATTAATTATCAACTGCACTAATAGTCGAATTTAAATAGGACTAGATTATTCTAATATTTAAATAGTATATTGCACCAAAAATACTATAAGTTGTACTAATTTTCCTCAACAAAAAATACATTATAGCATTAATTAGTCAAAGCTCAATTAATTGAATCTGGAAAAACACCAAAGAAGTGTCTTAGAATACTTTTCCAGGCACGTATTCATTAACTTTGCATGACTACATGCATGATGACACTCGACTACTATGCGAATAGTTACGCTAATGAGTTCAATAGAATCAGTAACTGAGACCTTGTATTTATGTTAAGAATTCAATTAATATGTTTAAAAACTTTATTTAGAATCCGATAAGCTATATTTTTTAGAATTCAGAACTCTTAAAATCAAATTCCTAGCTCCGCCTGCTACAATAATATTCTGAAACTAAATATCGGAGTGAAACAAAATATGAATGCATTAATGCTAAAGAGCATTCACGTTCTACTGCATGCGAACGCATGTACGTAATGGATAATATAACGTCATCTCTTACGCTCAACGACTCAGATTAAAATTGCAAGAAGTACATATAGAAAGTTTGCATATATAAAAGGTTATATTGCTGAAGGCCTTTGCTTTAGGTCAATTCAAATGGTCGAGATTTCAAAGTTTAACATTTGCACGGGTACGCGCACCTACCAAAAATGGAAATATCTTAGGGTTGTACCAAAATTGTACGGAAAAATATGACTATATCTATGAGTCACGAGAATCATATAGAGTCAATTGGTCTAGCAAAATATGAATATACTTGTTGAGACAAAAGATGTAACTTGAATAAGGGGTAGTTTAGTCTATTTATTTGTTAGCAGATTAGTACATTAGTTAGTCGGTTAATAGAGCATGTGATTGGTTAGAGTAATTAGTGAAGTTTGTGTATATATACATGTTGCTCAGGTAATGCAAAGCAGAGCATTCATTTCTTTCATTGTTGCATTCATCTCGTTGCTCCTCCTCTCTTCTCCCTCGTCAGTTAGAGTTTATCTCTTTCTATCAATCTCCATTTCAGCATGGTATCAGAGCTCGAGCACAGAGTCGAAGCTCATAAATCGATCCTCTGCTTTCTCTCCAACTCTGTTACTTTCTTCTCTACTCTGTTTTTCCTTCTCTGCAGTCTCAAACAATTAAGATCTCACTTTTTTGATTTGAGGTCCAAAATTTATTCAACAATGGTGTTTGGTGATTTGGATCATGAAAATGCAACAGTCACAACTGAAAATGCATCACATGCATCCTCCAATAATGAATTTGAGGAAGGTGTTACAGATGCAGTCACTCAATGTAACGACCCGACTTGTCGTTCTAAGAATTTATGCCCCGTTTAGTGACTTAAGGTCTCGAGAAACTTCTTAATATGTATTATGACCCGCGTATGTGGTCGAGTCTAATTTTCGAAAGATTTGGGATTAAACTGAGAAAAATAATTTTTTGAAGCTTAAATGGAAAGAGTTGACCGGAGAGTTGACTTTTAAGCAAACGACCCCAAAATGGAATTTTGATGATTCCAACAGCTCCGTATGGTGATTTTGGACTTAGGAGCGTATTCGAAATTTTATTTGGAAGTCCGTAGTTGAATTAGGCTTGAAATTGTTAAAATAGGAATTTAAGTTTGGAAGTTTGACCGGGGAGTTGACTTTTTGATATCGGGGTCGGAATAAAATTTTTATAGGTCCGTTATGTCATTTATGACTTGTGTGTAAAATTTGAGATCAATCGGACTTGATTTGATAGGTTTCGGCGTCGAATGTAGAAGTTGGAATTTCTTAGTTTCATTAAGGTGGAATTGGGGTATGATTCATGGTTTTAGCGTTGTTTGATATTATTTGAGGTTTTGACTAATTTCGTATGATATTTTAGGACTTGTTGGTATATTTGGTTAGGTCCCGAGGGGCTTGGGTATATATATTTTTTTTTAATCATTGGTTGAGAGACTAGTAAGGTTAAGAAATTTGAGAGTTTGATCATGGTCAATATCGGGTCAAGATGACCTCTTTTCAGTATTTTGAGTACGCGAGCAGGTCTGTAGCGTATTTTATGATTGAAATTCATATATGGGTTGTGTTCGGGTGAGTTTCGGATGGTTAACGGATCCAAAGTTGGACGTAAACAGCTGCTGCAAAAGCTGCTGTAATATTTTCTGCTGAAATTCGGGGGCAGAAATCGAAGGCCGAAGACCGAGGCCGAGGATCAAAGGCCGAGAATCGAAAGCTGAGGATTGAGGCCCAGGATCGAGGCCGAGGACCGAGGGCCGAGAGCCGAGGGCAGTCTGGACAGAACTGTTAGTTATAAAGCAGGTCGTCCCATTTTCCATTTTTAACATATTTGGAGCTATGGAGCTCACATTGAAGCGATTTTTGAGGCGATCTTCGCCATATGGATTGGGGTAAGTGTTCTATATCCAAAAGTGATTATATTTCATAAATCTATGGTTATATTCATCATTTATTTGTGATTTAAATGGAAGAAATCAAGATTTTTGCAAACTTTTTCAAGAACGAAAATTTTAGATTTGGAGGTCGAGTTGTTATCGGAATTTGATAAAATTGGTATGGGTGGACTCCTAATTGAATGGGTTATCGGATTTTGTGAGTTTCGTCAGATTCCGAGACGTGGGCCTCACATGCAATTTTGAGTTAAATTTCGAATTTTTGTTGGAAAATTAGTATTTTCATATGGAATTAATTTCTATAATTAGTATTCACTGAATTGAATTAATTTGGTTAGATTTGAGCTATCCGAAGGTCAATTCAAGCAAGAAAATGATTTTGAAATATCGGCATAACTTCAAAAATGTACGTATCTTGCCTAACCTTGAGTGGGGGAATTACCACTTAGGCATTGAGTCTTATGTGGAAATTGTGAAATTGAAAAATAATGTATGCGAGGTGACGAGTACGTACTTGGTTTATATGTGCAAATTACATTGGTTGAAATTCGTAGACGCTCGTATGTATTAAATTGGAAAATTGTTGGAACTTAGTAAATCCTTGATTTGAAATGCCTCATTCCTTGCTTTATTGAATTTGTTTTTATATGATAATTTAGTGTGATTACCACTTTAATTTTTATGTGAATCCCGTATTTTTGTTGAGTTGTTATTTCTTGGAGATAATTTTATTATAGATTTTTTATCTGCAAATAATTAATGAAATTTGTGATATGTTGTAGTATTTGAGCACTTGATGAGCCATTTGTGATATGTGAGCACTTGATGTGCAGTTGTTGAAATCATATTTACTTTGGGACTACGGAACGATATTCTGGGAGATCCCCCTATCCTGCATATTTACTTTGGGACTACGGAACGGTATTCCAGGAGATCTCCCTGCCCTGCATATTTACTTTGGGACTACGGAACGATATTCCGGGAGATCCCCATGCCTTGCATATTTACTTTTGGGACTACTAGGCGGTACCTCGGGAGTGCCCTTTTATTGATATTTTTCTATGGATGCACTTACATTTGGTTATTTTATTTTTTCATGATATGTAAATTCTTGTCTTCGCCGGTGATGTACTAGTTGACTTTATTATTATGTGTTTTGTGCTCCTTGTTGTATTGTGTTGGCCTGGGCTTTTTAATACGAGACTCTGAAGATTTATAATTCTGGTTTTTACTGATTTTTGATGACTGAATTATTTTAAATAAAAGAAAATTTCTATTATGTTTTAAATTAATAAGTATTACATACAAATCGGTAATTTATCTGATGCTTTAATTTAAGTACAAATGTCATTTTCTTCACTCAGACTATTTCTAAAGTAAATTGATCATGCAGATTCTTTTATATATTGATATTTTTAGCATGTGAGTTGTCCGTGCAGTTGTGGTAGAAACATGGGCACGAGGTGCCGTGAAAATATAAAAGTGGGCTGAGACCCATATTTTTATGAATATGAAATGCGGTGTCACAGGATAACTTTTATTTGAAGGAATTATATTCCAAGAATTGTATTTGAAAGAAGTATATTTGAAACATATTTATGTGAAGGAAGTATATTCGAAATAAAATTATCGGAAAGTATTACATCCTGCAGATTATTATTGAAAGATTTATAGGTGAAATAATTATATTTGAAGGACTTGATTAATTGGTTGTACTTGTATTCATTATTTGTTGAGCAATATTTATGGTGTTTTTTCGCCCTGCTATTTATATCATTGGTTGATTATTATTGTCATCATTGTTATTTGTTTCCTATTATTTTTGTGTGCTATATTACGCAGGTTATTAGACTAATGAGTGTCTTGACTATACCTCGTCACTACTCCACTGAGGTTAGTCTTGATACTTACTGGGTACCGACTGTGGTGTACTCATACTATACTTGTGCACATTTTTGTGTAGAGCCAGGTATGGAAGATATCGGACTTGGGCAGAGTTAGTGTGTTGATTGCAAGGATTCAAGGTAGAGCTGCTTGGTCGTCGCAGTCCCTTAGAGTCTTTCCATTTTATTGTACTGTCAACTCTTATTCGAACAATATTGTATATTCGATCTTGAGATTTATTGCATGTATTCAGTTAGAGTTCATGACTCAGTATTACCAGTCTTGGGAAGGTGTTATAATTATTTATGTTGTTGGTTTCGACACTTGTATTAAATTATATGTTAAAAAAATAGCTTGAATTGTAATTGTAATTGGCTTACCTAGTCTTAGAGACTAAGTGCCATCACGGCGTCTGTGGTGGAATTTTGGGTCGTGACACTCATCCACTATACCTAGCTGCGACACAAGTGGAATCTCTTTGATTTCATTCCAACTAACTGGCACTGATAATTACTCCTTATGGTATCGATCTATGCGGATTGCATTACTTGGTCATAATAAACTGGGTATTGCTGATGGCAGGTGGACAAAAGAGCAGTTTCATGAGAAGTATTGGTATCAATGGGAACGATGCAATGCAATTGTGTTGTCATAGCTGATGAACTCAGTTGCACCAGTCCTAATCAGTGGTGTTGCCTATGCCACTAATGCACAGAAGGTGTGGACGGATTTACAAGAGAGGTTTGACAAAGTGAATGATACTCGTTGCTAAAATTTGCACAAAGAAATTGCCACCCTAAGTCAAGGTACTTCTTATATTTCTGTCTATTATTCAAAGCTCAAGGATTTTTGGGATGAATCTTAGTCTGTTATACCCACTCATGACCGTGATTGTGTCAAGACTAAGGAGTTTATTGTGCATCTTCGAAAGCAAAAGGTGTATCATTTTCTAATGGGCTTGGATGATTCTTACCCTCAAGCTCATAGTCAAATACTTATGATGAAGCCACTTCCTTCAGTGAATCAAGCATATGCCATTCTTATGAGTGATGAAAGCCAAAGGGCTGTAGCTGCTTCTGCTGGTATTTTAGGATCCTCACCTACTGTAAATGCCACACATTCTTATGATTCAACTGCACTATATAGTGCTAAACCTAATTTCAATCCAAAATTTAGGAAGAATTACAATATTCAGTGTGAGTTTTGCAAAATGAAGAGTCAAATTAAAGAAAGCTGCTACAAAATAATAGGTTATCCATCAGATCATAAATTCAAAAAGAAAGGGGGAACTGGTGCTTATAATGCAATGGTCGAACCTGGATATACTATGCCTATGTACTTCAATCATGTCTCACGCCAGGCTTCTCAGCAAACTTCAATGCCTCATTTGCTTACATATCAAAAGCCTCAACAGATCATGAATCAAGGAGTTGAATTTTCTCAAGCTGTGAATCAGGCACAGGGTGGCACTCAAGCTCTAGCAGGATCCTCCTCTACACAGGCACAGAGACCTTACACAGTTTCCTCTCCACACACTCAAGGAAATGTGTTCCCTTTCACTAAAGACCAGTATGATCAGATAATGCACATTCTGAACAATTCAACTTCAACTTCCTCTGCTCAAGCAAATGTGGTAGGTACTAGCACTGCTCTCTTAGCATCTACTAGTCCACAAGAATGGATTATTGATACTGGAACGACTAATCATATGGTGTCAGATGCTAACTTGTTTACTAAGACCTCTATAGTTACTCCTTCTAAGCCTAGGACAGTCTTGTTACCTAATGGAGATATCACTCCAGTGACTCACACCGGTGACAGCAATATTTCAGACATAAGCACACTTAACGATGTATTTTATGTGCCTCAGTTCACGTTCAACTTATTATCAGACTCCAAAGTGACAAGAGGCCTTAAATGCTTTGCTTCCTTTTATCCTAATTTCTGTGTCTTTCAGGATCTCTTCAGTGGCAGGGTGAGGGAGATTGGTAGAGAAAGAGATGGTCTATACTTTCTGCAGAAATATGGTGGAAAGATGCTCACTGCTGGATTATTAGCTGCTGCTGGAATAAAGTCAAGGAAGGGAGACACTACAATTGATGTTGCCTTGTGGCATAAAAGACTAGGGCATGTATCCAGTATTGTTCTTAGAAAATTGTTTGCTGCCAAACTAGCTAGTATCAATGACACTATCAATAAGTACAGTGTCTATCCTTGTGCTAGGCAAACCAGGCTGGCATTTCCTTCTAGCTGTATTAAGACTGTTGTTGCATTTGATCTAATACATCTTGATGTTTGGGGTCCATATAACTGTGCAACTTTTGATGGAAATAGATATTTTCTGACTGTTGTTGATGACTTTACCAGGATGACTTGGGTTTTCTTTTTACTGAAACTCAAATATGATGTATGTGTGGTACTTACTCAGCTTATTGTGCTCATTCAAACTCAGTTTAACAAAGTTGTAAAGGCAGTCAAGTCAGACAATGGCTCTGAGTTTGTCAACTCTACCTGTACCACATTGTTTCAGAAGTATGGTATCATTCATCAAAGAACATGTGTCTATACTCCTCGGCAACATAGAATTGCTGAGAGAAAGCACATGCACATCCTAGAAGTCACACGAGCTTTAAGGTTTCGGGCCCATATTCCTATCAAGTATTGGGGACATTGTGTGCTTGCAGCAGTGTACCTCATAAATAGGATGCCATCTTTTGTTATTCATGGACTTTCTCCTTTTGAAGTATTGTATGGTATAACACCTAATCTGGGTCACTTAAGAATTCTTGGATGTTTGTTCTATTCCAAGCAAGTTCATGAAACAGACAAACTCCTGCCCAAGGCTAAGCCAGTTGTTCTCATGGGCTTCTCTGACACTCGGAAGGCCTACATTCTACTGGATCTCACTTCTCATTTTTTATCAACATGGATGTATCCTTTAGGGAAGATATATTTCCCTTCAAAGACATCACAGATACATCACCACCTATTTTCTTGCCTTCTGAATTGTCCAATTCTAGTGAAGAGCAGCCTTCACTTCCTCCTGTTCCTGCTAGGCATGAGTCTACTGGCTCTTCTGCTCTACACCAATCTGCAGCAGATGTGATGCCTTCTATTCCTCCTTCTATGTCATCTCAACTCTCCACTGGTCTGAGGAGATCTTTGAGGACAAGGCAGGCTCCCATTTGGATGAAGGACTTTATGTCACAACCTGGATACAAATCTATTCCGTATTCCATTGCTAACTATGTGTCATATGATAGAATTTCTCCCAAATATCAGGCATATTTAACTGCATTCTCTGCAATACAGGAACCTACTTCTTTTGAGAAATCTGCTTAAGATCCTAAGTGGGTTGAAGCTATGCAAGCTGGAATTGCTGCACTAGAATCCAATCACACCTGGGATGTGGTGTCCTTACCTGAAGGCAAGGTGCCTATTGGTTGTAAGTGGATCTATAAGGTGAAGTACAAAGCTACATGAGAGGTGGAGAGGTTCAAATCCAGGCTTGTGGCTAAAGGGTACAACCAACAGGAGGGTATTGACTACCACGAGACATTTAGCCCAATTGTTAAGATGGTTCCTATTAGAACCATTCTAGTTGTGGCTGCCTCTGAGCAGTGCCACATTCACCAAATGGATGTGTACAATGTTTTTATTCAGGGAGATCTCTATATATGACCTTACCTCAGGGCTTTCAGATTCAGGGGGAGACAAGACTAGCATGTAGACTCTTGAAATCCCTGTATGGGCTCAAACAAACACCCAGACAGTGGAATGCTAAGCTGTCTGAGGCACTTCTGGGATTTGGCTTCATGCAAAGCCAACATGATCACTCATTGTTCATCAAAGGGTCAGGGGAACATATCATAATCATCTTAGTGTATGTTAATGATATGCTAATCACTGAGCCTAATCTGACACTAATAGCTGAGATGAAGACCAAGCTGCAACTGAAATTCAAAATGAAAGATCTAGGGGAGCTTAAATACTTTCTTGGCATTGAGTTTGCCAGGTCACAGAGAGGCATCATGATGCACCAAAGGAAGTACACTCTAGAGCTGATTTCTGAGCTTGGATTAGGAGTTGCAAAACCTGCAACAACACCTATTGAAGCCAACATCAAATTGACCACTAAGGAATATGATGAACATACTAGCAGCTCTAGTGCAACTGATGATGAAGTGTTAACAGACATCAACCAGTATCAAAGATTACTAGAAAAACTACTCTACCTGACTGTCACAAGGCCAGCATATAATGTTCATACACTAAGCCAGTTTATGCAGAAACCAAAAAGAACTCATTTGGAAGTTGCTCAAAGAGTGTTTAGATATGTGAAGAATCAACCAGGTCAAGGCATAATGTTATCTAGCAAACAGAGAAATACTATCACTGCATATTGTGATGCAGACTGGGCAGTCTGCCCTATCACTAGGAAGTCATTAACAAGATTCTTCATCAGATATGGTGATTCCCTGATATCCTGAAAGTCCAAGAAACAAAGCACCATTTCTAGGAGTTTTGCAGAATCTGAGTACAGAAGTATTGAATCAACTGTAGCTGAATTTGTGTGGATACTTGGTCTGTTCAAAGACATTGGTATAGAAGTTGGCCTCCTTGTGAACATCTACACTAACAGTAAATCAGCAATTCAAATAGCTGCTAATCCAGTGTTTCACGAACGAACCAAACACATTGAAATAGACCTTCACTTTATAAGGAAAAAAGATACAGAATAGTCCGGTACGAACAGAATATGTAGCTACAAAGGTGCAGTTAGCAGACATTCTAACCAAAGGTCTACCATGAGCACAACACGAGCATTTACTGTCCAAGCTAGGTGTACTTGATGTCTTCCTACCACCTAGCTTGAGGGGGAGTATTGAGACAAAAGATGTAACTTGAGTAAGGGGTAGTTTAGTCTATTTATGTGTTAGCAGATTAGTGCATTAGTTAGTCAGTTAATAGAGCATATGATTGGTTAGAGAGGTGGTTAGAGTAGTTAGTAGAGTTGTGTATATATACATGTTGCTCAGGTAATACAAAGCAGAGCATTCATTTCTTTCACTGTTGCATTCATCTCGTTGCTCCTCCTCTCTTCTCTCTCTCTTCCCCCTCGTCAATTAGGGTTTATCTCTCTCTCAATCTCCATTTCAGCAATACTCCCTCTGTCTCATATTATGTGTCGTGTTTAAGAAATATTAATTAGGAAAAATATTGAACTATTATATCCTTATTTATGTCTTAAGAGATAATCTCTCTTCATTAAATATATATTCTATTTATGTGTTATCTCCATCTTCATGAATAATTATTACTAAAGGTAAAAAAGGAAAAAAATAATCAATTTGTCTTGAACTTCTAAAATGATAAATAGTTTGAGACAATTATTTTTAGTAACCACGACTGTTAATTTGAGACAGAGGAAGTATATGTTTATATATAGGAATGATGTAAATTAAACAAACACATGTTTTTGCAGATTCAAATGCAAATCTCACCTTCGACATATTCGACTACATGATTAATTAATGACCAATGAAATTTAACAGAATTCTATCTATCAGGGCAGAGCTAGGTGGGCAGAAGGGTTGAAGGGGGTTCAACGCAAAAAAATTACACTATGAATATAATGCCAACTTTTTTTAATGTATATATTTAGATATTGAATCCACTTAGCTTCTTGATATGTTTATCTCTTTTTTTTTTGAATCCCCTAGGTGAAAATTCTGCTTCTGCCACAGCTGTCTATAGTCATCATATAAACAAGCACAAAATTTTTTTTTGAGTTGCAAGTTTCACCTTGCCCAAATCCGATGTTTCATTTTCCCTCCAAGCACGTTGTATTAGAATATTATTTTAAGCAAAAAGATCAATCTATTTCTCATGTTCAAACCTGACAGATACAGATTCAAGATTTGAAATTTATGTGGGTTCATAAGATCTTTTCACGAATTGATTTGAACATCATATTATCTAAATCAATTTGCGTGACCCTGTTTGTCATGTATTACCATATAATATGGAGTAGGAATACTCTTTATTTTTAACCAAATTTACTTTATCAAGCTTTACATTTTTTCTTTAGGTTTCTTTTGCAAGTTTAGTTATGTATAGGGGCAATGAAAACTAAAAAATAACACAATGCTACACATGTAAATAGACGTTTGGTTCTTATAATGGATTTGTACGTTTTCTTTACTATTGTGCTATTTCTCTAGTCTCGAACGTGATTCATGTTTGATAATCTAGTCGGTTTGTGTGATTTAGTTGCAAAATATGAGCTAATAGCTCACTTCACATCACTGTCTTAAAAAGCAGGTTGCAGAGAAAGTAAATTTATAGTCTGTTTGAAAGAGTGTTAGAAAAGTCAATCCAATTATATCTGTACATGCTATCTTTCGAGAATCACACAAAAGAATAAACAAAATATAAAGTGCTGGTAATGACTCGACTTGTCGTTTTGTAAATTAGCATCTCGTTCAGCAACTTAAGGTCCCAAGCAGCTTTGTGATGTGTATTATGACTTGCGTGTGTGATCGAGTTTGATTTTAGGAAGATTTGGAACTAAATTGAAAGAACAATTCTTATTTTTAAAGCTTAAATGAAAAGAGTTGACCGGAGTTTGCCTTTTGAGCAAACGATTCCGAAACGGAATTTTGATGATGTCAATAGCTTCGTATGATGATTTCGGACTTAGGCGTATGTCCGGATTTGGATTTGGAAGTCTGTAGGACAATTCGGCACATTTCGGCGAAAGGTTGGAAAATGAAGTTCTTAAAATATTCCTAAATTCGACCGTAAGTTGATTGGTTGATAACGAGGTCGGATTTCGATTTCAAAAATTGGAACATCTCCATTTCAGAAATTTGTATGACCCTGTTTGTCATTTATGAAAGCGAAATTTGACGTCATTACGGGTTAATTTGATATGTTTCAGCACTAGTTTTGTAAGTTGGAAAATTTGGAAATTCATGAGTTCGATTTGTGGTGCGATTCATAGTTTCGACATTGTTTGATGTGGTTTGAGGCCTCGAGCAGGTCCGCGTGATGATTTAGCACTTGCTGGTATGTTTGGTTGAGGTCCTGGGGGCCTCGGGTGTGTTTCGGGGTGAGTGTTGAGCGAGTTTGGGCATTTCGGCACTTTGATGATGTTCTAGAACAGTTGAAGTGCGGAGGGCACGATTTGGAGTGCTGAGGCAAAGCCTCATGTACGGATCTTAGAGGAAAATTGCGGAACGCAAAAATCCTCTTTGCGGCCGCAGTAAGGAGAATCTGCAGGTTCGATGGTCTAACTTCGGAAGCTTATATCTTTTGATCTATAAGGAATTTGGTGATGATCCAAAAATAAAAGTCATAGTCCTTTGAGTCTAGTTTTCAGAAAGGTAAACCATTTAGAATTTAAACATTTGTAAAGAAAGTTATGGTCAATTTACTAAAGCCTGGTAGTGCAGATATTGCTGAACTGCGACCGCACAATTTGGGTTGCGGCTGCAGAACCCAGAATATGCAAACCGCCCAAAAATATGCGGTCAGCACTTTGGAGGTCGGATGTGGTACCATATAAATGAGGTTTTCATCTCATTTTTTATTTTTGGGCCTAGAGAACTCGATTTTGGCTATATTACACGAATTCATTATTGTTTTCATCATTTAATTAGTATTTTGAGATGGAAATTTGGGAGAAATTGTAGAAATTTCATAAAATAATTTTTTGGGATTTAAAAGTCGATTCAGAGTCGGATTTAAGTGAAACTAGTATGATTGGACTTGTATCGGAATGGGTGTTCGGATTTCGTAAAAATTCTGTTGGGTTTCGAGAGGCAAGCCCAGCGTTGACTTTCAGTTGACTTTTTAATGCAAAATTCTAAGTCGATATTTTATTATCCGAAATTATTTTCAATGAATTTTAATAAAGTTATACAATTAATTTGGATAGATTTGAATAATCCGGAGATCAATTCAAGTAAGAAGGCTATTTTGGAATATCTCCCTAACTTCAAAAAGATAAGTATCTTGCCTAACCTTGTGTGGGAAAAATTTCCCTTAGGCATTGAGTCGTAGGTGCCATTTGTGTAATGTGAAAACCGTGTGCGCGAGATGACGAGTATGTACTCGGGATTATATGTGCAAATTGTATGGGTTTAAAGTCATAGGAAGTTTTAAGTATTAAATTGGAAATTTTGCTGGCACTTATAAAATCCTTATTTGTCATGCCTCGTTCTTTGTTTGTCGAATTTGTTTGATATGATAATTTGGTGTGATTGCTACTTTGATTTTTATGTGGATTCCTTGTGCTGGTTGAGTTGACATTTTCTGGAAATAATTACATTTTGGAT